GAAAACGTGAAACAATATTAAATTGTACAGAAAAATCCAGGCAAGTCCATCTTCATTATCGAATAAATCGCGTTTAACCGTATGACCTGGTCGATCAAGCGACGGGGGGTTGGAGGTTTGAGAATCGGGGCTCGGGGTGGTTCGCGGGGTTCATGAGAGATCGAAAATAGGATGGCATCGAAAATGACGGGAGCAAGACAGATCGTGAAACGGAAATAGACGTCGGACCGACGTCTTTTGACTCTCCGGTGTGAAATAATTGGTTTTACGATTAACCGAATCTCTCTCTTTCCCTCTCTCTCTCTCTCTTTCTCTTTCTCTTTTTTTCTCTCTCTTTTTAAATCAGCTTCGTAATAAAGAGAAATAGAATGGAAGGAAGAAGCGAGAGAAAGAAAGAAAGAGCGTTGTCCGAAATATTTTTCTATCTCGACGTTTAATCGATACGATTTAATTATCACGAAAGTGATACGACTTTAGAAAAAGAAAATTACTTTTATATTTGCACACATTAACGCTTCGAACGAATAATAGGATAAAGAAGAAGACAAATAAAAGGAATAAGATTTTCTTCCTAAAATTATTCGATGTATAATAAAAGATTTAAAAAAAAAAGAAAAGAAAAGAGAAAAAAAAGTATTCTTAAAACTGCTTCTTAAAACTATTCCGGTATCAGTGACAGTTATCGATAATAATTCATACTATTAGATTTATAAACTTTCTTTCATTTTAAAATAAGTTAGAATAATAATAATAATAATAAGAAGAAGAAGAAGAAGAAAAATAGAAACTTATGATGAATGGGGAATAGAATAATTCGGATGCTTTGAATCGTACATGAAATCGTAAAGTCGTGCGCAATCGCGTTTCTCATTTTATTCTTAAAACAATCGAAACGATCAATATTTGATTGAATTTAAATCGATACTTTATTTTTTCTATGCCTAAAAATAAATAAATAATATTCTAGAGTAAGAAGATTTATCAATATCAAACGCGCGTTTCAAGAAATTATTAATGACGACATTTTAAAACGTCTCCGTTCGTTCTATCTTGTTTCTTGTTGTCAATAAAAAAAAAAAAAAAAAAAAATTTTTTAATTTTTAATCGACATTAAACTTTTTGTGTACTTTTTTTTTATTAAAATACGAAGAGATAATCAAAACTGTGTGAGTTTTTTGTTCATT